GGAAAATACTTTCTAAATCAGACATCAGTCACTCAGTAATTAAGGTCAGCAATCAACAAGTGGGACCTCATTAAACTAAAAAGCTTCTGGACAGCAAAGGAAACAATTAAAAAAGTGAAGAGAAAACCCACAGAATGGGAAAAAAATCTTCACCACTGATACATCTGACAGAGGTTTAACATCCTGAACATAAAAAGAACTTATATATTGTGTCTTTACCCCGTTTGGGTATTGGAGTGATGCTGGCTTCATAGAAGAAATTTGGGAGTTCTCCCTCTGTTTCTATCGTTTTGATTAATTTAAATCAAGAAATCAAACGATCCAATTAAAAGATGGGCTAAAGATCTAAATATAGAGTCCTCAAAGGAAGAAATAAAGATAGCTAAGAAACATCTCAAAAAGTGTTCAACATCGTTAGTAATTAGGGAAATTCAAGTTAAAACCCCCCTAAGGTATCACCTTACCCCAATCAGACTGGCTAGGATCAAGAGAACAAATGATACCAAATACTGGTGAGGATGTGAAGGGGAACGCTCATTCACTGCTGGTGGGATTGCAAACTTGTGCAAACCCTATGGAAAAAACTAAAAATGAACTTACCATATGACCCAGTCTTTGGCATATACCCCAAATACTCATCTTATTATAGAGACACTTGTACAATCATGTTCGTTGCTATTCTTTTCACAATAGCTAAGAGATGGAAGCAACCTAAGTGCCCCTCAACTGACAAGTGATTAACAAAAATGTGGTATAGTTATACAATGGAGCTCTATTCAGCAGTAAAGAAAGACAAAATAATGAAATCTGTAGGTAAATGGATGGATCTAGAAACTGTTATACTAAGTGAAGTAACACAGACTCAGAAAAACAAAGGATGTATGTTCTCCCGCATTGTGGATCCTAGCATCAAATCCTTTCAAATTCCATGTCCTTTTAATAAGATGATGCTGTAGCGCAGTCTCTTCTGCATGAAATAACTACCGTCATCATGACTTCAGCTGTGCCTGATCGCTAAACATCATCACAACTGGGCTTGTTGACAGTTGTGCTCATTCATTAAAGGAGAGCCAAGCAGGGTCACTGGACCCTGACTGGAGTATCCAGCCACTCTTCCCAGTCAACTGTATGTATTTTGGCCCTAATCACACATGATGTCCTGGATTTGGGGAGGGCTAAAGTATAAAATCTGGAAAAGGCTAGGAAGAAAAGGCATGACCCATGCTGGGAAAAGGCTTTCCAGTGTGCATACCCTCAGGTCATACATATACCTCACCACCCCTCAGTTATCTTGGTAAGTAAGCTCAGTAAATTTAATGGTTCCCTAGTAAAACTTTAATCAAACGTTGGCTTGACACTAGAACCTTAAAATGGGAATAAGCATTGCTTAGTATTCCCAGGAAAAGAAGTCTCACAACAGATGGAAAATTTATTTGTTAAACCTATTATATCTCATTATTATTAAAAAAAGAAAGAAAGAAAGAAAATGAGAATATAAAAGACATTCAAAGGATATGGAAATGGAGATATTTTCCAAAATAGAAAAAATGAGAAAGTCTAAGCAAGTGATGAAGGTCTGTGCAGGTTTGTTATATAAAGGATGAGATGAAAATAATACATAATCTTAAAATTGATAAGGTCATAGTTTAGTCAACTACTTTAAGGAACAAAATATGTATCTAGTCAAGGTTTATCTGAGAATATTTGGTTTTTTACCCAAGCTTTATCTACATAGCACATGGTAATTAAAAGTACCAGACTGGTGGAACTAACCTTATTGGATGTTTAACAGCCATACTTTGAGGTCTATACTAATCTGGTCAGAGAGACATAAAGGACAGTTTTTGTTCCTTGCCCTCCGAGGTCTACTAAGTTGTAGGGGACTATGGAACATCTCAAAATGTCCTGTAACTGTGGTGAGTCACCTCTCCTCTTGTTCAGGGAGGCCATGGAGACCCCACCAGATAGACTTAAACCAGTGTCCAGTCTACACAGAGGAGGGTCAACTCAGAGGAAACATCTCATCCATGCTTCCAAGTGAAGCCAGACATGGATGAGCAGGACCTTTGACTTATCTTCACGTAGATGGAACTGGTAAAAGAAAGGAGCTAGAGGCTCCTCCCAAGCCCATGTGATCCCTGAAGAACAGATCCTCAAACAACCTTAAGTGTAAAAATACATTGGTTTATTTGGGTCAATTGTATGGTCTTAAACATCCAAAAGGAAATTATAACCAAAGAGTAAAGTCACCAATATATTTCTTTAAAAGGGATTACACTTCCCAGACATTAGGCTTAAGTCCATATAAAAAGTTATCTAGACAGTTATTTCTCATTGATGATTTTGTTACTAATCAGAAAGTGCTGCTCAGATGTAAGACTTCAAATCTTGGTCTGAAATATTGTAGTGCCCATCTGTCGCGAAGGGTGACAACCAGCTGTTCTAAAATGATGGCTAAATTTGTTTTCTCCCCCTACCTAGAAGCCTTTGAGAGGGAATGGACACTGATTCTAACCACTCCAACAGCTATCAAAATGCCTGAAAGCAAATCCTGAATCCATCACTCTTGAGTCCGGCCTTGGCAGACAAAAGAAAAATGAAAAGGAACCCAATAAAGGAATGCTTTTGGAAGCCCTTGCCAAGAAATTCTAATAGAGTCTCACATGAACATTTGAAAACTGCCCTGTTCTTTTTCCTAGTTCCCTGTCTAGAATTTGTAATGCTAAATACTCTTGCCTTTATTTCTCCTTCACATCTCCTGTTCACCAGTCAAGGACTTTCTTTTCCCCCTACAGATAAGAGTTATGCAATTTGGGAGTCTTTTAGATAGGCCCACTGAAGGGGTACTCCAATTGCACCACGCTGCATCCCTGTTCAGCAAGGAGGTAGCCAGGGTAGTCTGTGTCCTGATTGCCTATCCACAAGTTGGGTAACCTCTTCAGAGGATGGTGTGATAAGTAAGAATAGGAGGTAGGAATTGGCTAGGCAGTTAGGGAAAAAAGACCCCAAAGAAAAGTAACCAGTTTCTTGGCTAAAACTCACCATGTCCTTGGGCCTCTTAGCAACATACTCCATTCCAAAGGCCAAAAATGGTCAAAGTATTTGGGAGCTTTTATCTAATCCTTAAAAGATTTTAGGGTTACCTTTTCAGAGGGGAGAATCTTAGAGTAGCCAAAATCCCCATTAAAAAATAAATAAAAGAAGAAAGAGTACATGAAAAAAAAAAAGAAACAGAATCTTATCAGAAAAGAAGTATTTTCAAGATATGTGAACCAGTATTTTAGAGCCAACTTCTCTTTTCCAATGGAATCTTTACAGAATTGTAGATAAGACTACAAGTCCTAGATCTAGCTTGTTATTATCTTTCAGAGTGATTGTATAATGAATTAATACATGTAAATGATTCAGTGTAGAGCTTGTTCCATAATATATGTTAAAAATATCTGCTTTAAAAATAAATAAATAAAAGATATGCATGGTGAAATGTTAGAATATTCTATTAATAATAGTTTTTTTACATTTTTATATCCCAGATTCTTAAGCCCATGTATCACAAGTTCTGTCAGATACAGTCATATAGACAATCAGTGTGGAAAAATGCAGAAATCTTTTGATATTGTTTAATAAAATAAAATGATTTTGGATAGAGAGATGGCTCAGGGGTTAAGAGCACTGGATGCTCATGCAGAGGACCCAGATTTGAGTCCCAGCACTCACATGGCAGCTAACAACTGTCTGTAACTCCAGTTCTAGGGGGATCCAAAGCCCTCTTCTGACCTCCATGGGTACTGCACAACACAGGTGTACTTGCACACATGCAGACAATACACTCAGGCACATAAAATGAAAATAATAAATAAAATAATTAACCAAATAAAATGATTTACCAAAACAATATAAAATTTTATACTTTCTCAAAAAATTAGAAAAAAAATCCATTTAAATGTGCTATGAGGATTTTAAAAATACTTTACATATTAAGGACTTTTAACAGTAATTGCCAATTAGTTTTAATTCTGTATAATAAATACATATTTTTATTGACCTATATGTTAAAGAGTACACCATTTAATAATTGTAACAATAATAAATGTATAATATATTAGTTATCAATAAGTATGCATGCATTAAATTCTTAAAGAAAAAAACAAACTCATCTTCATATAATTTTTAAAGGCCAATGTAGATATAATTCCTCCAAGTTTTTTATTATGAAGTTTTTCAGTCATGCATAGAAGCTAAAGAAGTGGTACAAGAATAGTCTATATACCTGCCATCTAATCATTGTTAATAGTTTTTCAATTTCTTCTCTGTTTGTATAAATGTATTATATATACATATAAATAACCTTTTCACTAAACCATTTGAAATGAAGTTGCAAGCATGAAAAAGAAGAAAAGGAATGTCTTCAAGTGTTGTCAAGAGAATTTTCATGAAAGAACGCTGCCTGGGGATCCTCCAGCCCCTCCCATCCAACTGCACCTTATCTTTGTCATCCAGCAGAGCAGAGATCCGAGGGCTTGATGAGGAGCGGTAGATGGAAGAACCTCGATCCCTTAAACCTTCCCTGGAATTGGCTACTTCATTCAGCATGTTGTGGCTGCCAGTTTTTCTGAGTCCCAATCTCCATGAAGAAGGAGATTCATCTTTGGGGTCTTCTGCCTTATTAAAAAGACTGGAGAACTAGGAGAGAAGAAGAAAAGCCCTGGGGATTTATTCTGGTTTGGTGTATCTGCCTTTTCTCCCCTTAATGAGGTTCAGTGAAGCAGCACACAGAATACCTAAAAATAAGGTCCTCTGCTTCTCTAAGTCTCAGTACGCTTATCTGTAAAATGGTGATAATGAGTTCATTTTTTTCCCCTTGAATATAGTCTGAAAAAACAGGATGAGCTAATGCAGTATACATGAAAGATACTGTATGTGATAAGTTGATTTTAAGTTAATACTAAAGGCAACTTCACCAAAATTCTAACTTTGATCTTAAGAAAATAATTTATTTGATTTTATACAGTCATTTCAAAGAGTTTTACACTTCACTGACCATGAAATTTAAGAAGAAAAAATATTAGGGATGAGAGAGTTGGCATCTTTCTTATTCTGCTTAGAAAGAATGCCTTTCAAGGAGATACATAAGTTACCATCACCATCATTTCATTAAAAAAGACAAAAGAGGGGCTGGGCATGGTGTTGCATGCATGCCTTTAATCCCATCCCACTTGGGAGGCAGAGGCAAGCAGATCTCTGTGAGTTTGAGGCCAGCCTGGTCTACATGGTGAGTTCCAGGCCAGCTGGAGCTACAGGGAGACCCTTTCCCAAAAAGACCATTAAAAAAAAAAAAAGGATGAAAGAGGGACTGGAGAGATGGCTCCTCAGTTAAGAATATCTGCTGTTTTTCCAGAGGACCTCAGTTTAGTTCCCAGCACCCACAACTGTACTAACCAACTGTATATAACTCCAGTTCCAGTGGATCCAACACCTTCTGGCCTCTGCAGGCACTGAACACATGTGGTACACTTGTATGTACATGCAGGCAAAATACTCATATGAATAAAAAAAATTTTTAAATATTTTTTTAAGTAAAAAGACAAAAGAATTTTTAATATTAGAAAAAGAAGCTTCAGTTGGGCATGGTAGCACAGGCCCATAATCTCAGCATTTAGAAGGTAGAGGCAGGTAGACCAGGATCACAGTCATGGCTCAGCTACACAGTGAGTTAGATGGTAGCCTGGGCTAGGACTACATAAGACCCTAGCTCAAGCTGGGCATAGTGGCACACGCTTTTAGTCCCAGTATTGGGGAGGCAAAGGCAGGGGAATCTCTGTGAGATCAAGGCCAGCCTAGTCTACATAGAGAGTTCCAGACTAGCTGGGACTACAGGGAGATCCTTTCAAAAGGAAGGAAGGACCTTGTCTCAAAGCTACACAACACATACATACACACACACACACACATACACACACACACACACACACACAATATTAAATAAATGGAAAAGAAAGTTTTGGACTAGATGTAGTACAATAGTACAGTGCTTGTCTAGCATGTTCAAGATCCTGAGTTCTAGCCTCAGCATCAAAACCAAAGACAACACAAACAAACAAACACCCCCACAAAAACCAAACAGCAAAAAAACACTTCATGGACAATTTACATCTTCTTTCATATAAAGCAGGGAAACAAGGCTGGAGATAAGAGTTTAGTGATAAAGTGGTTGCCTAGAGTATACAAGGCATACACAAGGTTTAATCTCTAGTACTACAAAAATAGACGAAGAAATAATGCAGGGAAACATCATAGGCTAGCATTATCCCAAAGACTAATTCAGAGTATTTTGGGTACAACTGGTCCTTGGATATCAGGCAACTGCTCCTTTCCTAGGGTCTTAGAAACTTTGTAAACAAACAAACAAACAAAACCCCCTTGGGTCTTTCTTCCAAAAAAAATCAGGCCATCTTTGCTGGCTGGTATGGGGAAAATGTAGTAAAAATATCCAATCACTTACCTCTATCCATCCAACACTTAGATTTTCTCTTGTTATCAGTTATCTGAATACACAAACTTATGTGCTCTTTCCTTTTAACAAGCTGCCCTGATTCTAAGGGGGAATCTTTCCTCCTTTCCCATAATTATTTTAGCAAAGTGGAATAAATACAGCTGTGTTTGTATTTCTTAAGTTAGTTCTTTTTTTTTTAAGTAGGAAATACAGTCACACCTAAAAGCATTGCCAATCTGTGAGATACAAGTAAATGACTGGATAATGAGCAAAAATTGTGCTCCATTTGAAACCTGGTTAATGATTCACAGTGATGTTTCTAAAAATAAGTAAGGCCTAGAGAGGTTTTGTTTCATTTCTACAAGTATACTACAGACCCATCTTTCTGATTTATGAGGAACTAAGATCAATTAAAATCTCTAAAACCATAGAGCTTTTTCAATAGCTCTATTCCCAACAACTCAGATCACTGCTTTACCTCATCATGCAATGCTACCTCACTGTCGAGGAGCCTCCACTTCTGAGGCCTGCACAAAGCTTCAGCAGGAAGCACCTCTGGTATTTCAGACAGCCTTTCTCCTTCTGCCCTTACCATCACAACAAAGACTTACTCAGGAGACTACATTTTCAATGAGAAGAAGAAAAAGAATAATTGTCACTAAAACAATTAATTCTGGATGCTAGATGTCTTCCTACCTAATCTAAGCTTTATATACAGTAATCGTAGTTTCCAATATGAAGAAAACAGGAAAACGGAATTTTTTGGTCTCAGGCTACTTTCCTCCTACTATTGTAACACATTTGTAGTCAAATGTGTTTGGTGATGGTTTTACTAGGATTTCCAGGCAATGCTACAGATGGAACGTTCGTGTCCCTTTAAACTTCCTATTGAAGCCTTAGCTACCACAACTGCATTTATAGGCTGTGAAGAAGTGGCAAAGGTAGCATGAGATCAACAGAGTAGGGCTCTACTTCTACTTCTACTAAGGGAAGGACACCACTGCTCTCTCCACGATGTTAAAACATAGCAAGGAGGCCAACATTAAAACAAGAGGAGGAGCTGACATGGCTGGCACACTAACCTGGAACTTTCCAACCTAAAGAATTGTAAGAGTAAATTTCTGTTGCTTAAGTTGCAGTCTAGGTATTTTGTTATGGAAGCCTAAGACAGCAAGAATGTCTCTGTTGTTTTGTAAGAATGTATCTCTGAGGCTTTTCCAAATGTGTGCTATTGTAGCAGAATGAAATATGATCTCAAATCAATTCCAAAGTACTCACTCTCCTAGTAGAGGAGGTAGAGAAGGTGTTCTGAGCTGGTGCTGGGATCTGCTCCATGACTCGACTCTTGCATTCAGAGTTGGAATGGTTGACAGTAGCTTCTGGCTTTTTACCTGTTAAGAAAAGAGAAACAATAAGTATAATAAGAAAATCTTATCTTCCTATGTATAAGTCTTTTCTACCGGCAACAAACAAAGTTTGTCATTATCAAAACAGACTGTTGGGGCCATGGAATGTCTGGACATACACAAGGTCAAACTTTGACAACTGTGGGCAGAAGAAAATGAACTCAAGGGTATTCTTATCTTGGTAGGCTCCAATTTCCAAGTGAAAACTGTCTCTATATTACTAGTTATATTGTACATAAAATTCATCAGTAACTATTTATGAAAAATCCACTCAGTGTTGTGGGGGAGCTGGACAGGAAAAGAAAACAGAAAACCCCTAAGATAGACCTTGCTTCTTAGGTAATCACAATAGAAAAGATACATTATAATAAAAACACAAAAGCATATGCTTGATTTAAATCGACAGGTGCTATAGGATTTCAGAGAAAAGGCAGATCATCTGAGGAAGGAAACAAGAAAGCTACTATAGTCAATCAGCGTGCTCTAAGTAGCTCCAGTGAAAGCTGGAAGACAGTACTGATGGGCAGGTGAAGAAGGAAAAAAGAGCACAGGTGGCATCTCAGGAACCACTGGTCAGGGAAATGGCTGGCCTGGTTTAAGAAATGAGCAATTTGGGAGGGTTACAATAGGACCCAATGGTACAAGACCTTAAAGGATATAGGTTGTTACAAAATTTTAGAAACTCACGAAACATATATAGGAATTGTTCAACACAGAAGGGCCATCAATCAGAAAGCCTACCTCTTATTTATGGCTGTATACTAAATAATAATTAGCATAGTATCTACCTATATTCTACCTAGTGAATACAGTCTGGTCTATATACTCTGGAAATAAATCTAGAGTAACCTACCTGTGGATTATGTGATAATATTAAGCCATACCCTAACTGTAATGCTGAAAAAGTTACATATTATATTTGAATCTCTACTTTCTTATTAATCAGAGATTTTAATTCTTACCTTTAATTTTTTTTTTTTTTTTTTTGGTTCTTTTGAAAGCAGGGTCCCCCGGTAGCCCCAGCTGTCGTGGAACTCACTATGGGGCCCGGGCGGGCTTTGAACCCACAGAGATCCGCCTGCCTCAGCCTCCCCAGTGCTGAGACTATAGGTGTGCACCACCATGCCCAGCTAAGATAGAGAATTTTTATAAAGATTAGAGAATAACATTTTAAAATTTGCATAGCTTATTGGCCATGGTAAGTTTCTTATGTTATTAATGCTATTATTTTTGTGGTTATTGTTAACATTCAAGGTATTGATAACATTCTTTAAGTTCTATCTAAATAATTACCTAAGCTCCAAAAAACCTAGCTTACTAGCCAAATGAGACGGACTGTTACAGTCATGGATTCCAATGCATCATACCTCCCTGAACCCACACCCACATTTAATGCCTTCTCACATCACATCAACTCTGGGTTTGGCCAGGTGACTTGCTACAGCTACTGGAACATCAGCAAATGGGACAGAAGCAGAGGCTTTCAACCTTGGTCTTGCCCTCTATAACCTCTATAACTACCTTCAGAATCAAGCTGTGACATAAAGAAGTAGAGGGCAGGCCTGGTGGATGACAGGAGATCTATTTGTCCTAAACATTATAACCAACCACCAGAAAAGTTAGTAATGCCATCCAAGACCAGCTACCCTCAGATGCCTTACTAACTGAAGGCACAAACATGAGTAAGCCCAGCATTGCCATGAGGAGACAAACCATCTAGCTGATCCCTTCCCAAACTGTCATAGAAGAGAACACACATAAAAAGTTATTGCTTTCATTTGTGTGAAACAGGGTCTCATGTAGCCCAGGCTAGCCTCAAACTGGCTGTGAAACTGAGGATGACCTTGAACTTTTGATCCTCCTGACTCTACCTCCTGATCCGTGAGATTACAGGCATGTGCCGTCAGGTCAGGTTTTATGCAGTGCTGGGGATCAAACCTAGGTCATGTACATGCTAGACAAGCAGTCTATGAACTGAGGCACATCCCTAGCCCAAGAGTTTCTGTTCTAGGCCACTAAGCTTGGAGATGGCTTATTATAAAGCAATAGATAATTGATACACAAAATATTTAGGTCAAATAAATAAAGGTAATCAAAATGCTTACATTACTCAAAATACAATTAATTTTTAAAATATTCACTTATTATGTGTTTGTAGGTATGTGTACCATGTATGTGCAAGTGCCCATGGAGATCAGAAGGCATCAGATACCCTGAAGTGGAGTTACTGGCAGTTGTGAGCCACTTGATGTGGGTGCTGGGAACTCTGCAAAAGCAGTAAGCACTTTTAACTACTGAGCTATCTCTCCAGTCCAAAATTAATATTTTAGTACAATATTAACATGTAAGACACATGAAAATTATCATTTTTTGCTGGGCATGGAGGCACATGCCTTTAATCCCAGCTCTTGGGAGGCAGAGGCAGGTGGATCTCTGTGAATTCCAGGCTAGCCTGGTCTACAAATGAGTTCCAGGCCTCCTGGGGCTACAGGGAAACCCTGTCCCAAAAAGAACAAAAAATAAAGTAAAATAATAATTTTTATGAGGCTGTATATGTGGATCTTTAAAAATGGGAGAAATACATTCAACAGATATTTGTTTGATGCCTGCATGTGATAGCCAACCTCTTGGAACACTTTCTTGCACTCTTCCAACATATTTATTGAGCATCTATGATACAGAAGGCCATATGGCACAAGGAAGATGAAATAGATACACAGAACACTCAAATGCTTTCAAAGCTCACCCATGGCAAATAGCCGAAGGGGTAAGAAAAAACAAAAAACAGAAACAATTCAAATACTAAGCAGCATGAGATAAGTAATATAAAGTAGTTTCAGCTACTAAAATCAGAGGAGGAAAGAAAAGCATGTACCTACGTGGTAAGGCTTCATAACAGAAGCTGATTTGTACTAGGCTTTGAGACATGAGTAAAATTTCAGTTGGCAGAGAACTACAGAAATGAGTAGGGGAGCTTGCTAGAACCATCTGGCTTCTGCCCACACCAGGCTATTGAAACTGTACTCTAGGATTACTAGTGACTTCTAATTGTTGCACCATCCCTGCGCTCTCCCTTCTCAGTAGTGCTTACTACTGCTGGCTTCTCTGAAGCACAAATACATGTTCTGGTTTTCTTCAACCTCTTGATCATACTTCTTTACTTCCTTCATTAATATCACCTCAATTTGTAAATATACTATGCCCTAAGATTCTTTTTCCTTTCTCCTGAATCTTTTCTTTACAATATCTTCTTTGGGGATCTCAGTTTGGTTTTTTGGTTTTTTTTTTCATGACAAAAATT